TTCATGTGCCCCAACAGGACTGAGGTGGTAGTCTGCTTCATGAAGAGCTGTAACAGTATGTGAAACAGCTCAAGAAGTAGTTTACAAGCAGCAAAGACTGAATGGAAAAGGACAAAAAAGACCTGATTGCAGTATTTTACGTTGAATTTCCACCACCTTCCAAGCGGGTATTTCAATATGAGTACATTAAATTCACATATTACTCAACAGCCAGGGCTATTTAGCAATAAAGACCTCTGGCACTGAAAGAGAACTCAAAACAAATCTTTCCAGCAAGCAGTAAAATGCAAGGAGCGTCATGCTTAAGATCACTAGGCTATGTACCTTGTTAAGGCAAGAGGCTGGAGGCTGCTTTGTGCCATCGGTGCAAGCGATGGTGTCGTGTGACACGCTCACTCTCATAGACAACTGCCCTGGAGATTAAAAAAATTAACTATAGTTCTGTAGCCAGAGTGTATTAAATTGCACGCACGCACACAGAGAACATTAGGGCTTTTGAAACTTGATTCGGGCTGCATTTGGAATTGGTTTTATAGCTGTTGATTGTTCTCTGTGGAGGAAAATAACTGCAAGCAGTGCTTGGTGTGCTCCCTAGAAAATGAGCAAGAAGGAAAAAAAGGATTGAAGCTCAGGCATAAGGAGTCCTGTCTGAAAGACCCTATCCTCCAGTCCAGGGCAAGGAAAGAAGGCAAGTCAGGGTTCTTGCATGATTTTTTAAATTCTATTTAGAGTGTAAAGATGCCAGACTCCCCAGCTTTGCAGAGATGCGAATGAGATTGTTCTAACTAATGACTGTGGCAAGGTTTGACTTCTCTGGAGTTTTGCAGTTCAGTCACAGAATACAGAGGTCCCCTGACACCGAGGCAAAGTTTCTGGCTTACTCACTGTGGAGCCCCAGCCCTTGAAGGAAGCAGTCACCAGCTCTTCTTCCTGCATGTGCGTAGCTGTTCTGCATTGAGGTTATGCCTGAGGAGTTAAGTCTATGTGGAAATCCATTTGCATTGCGTCTGCTCAGCACAGAGCAGAAGGAGAGGTCACATCTGTGTTTCTATCATGCTGAACCACCTAGCCCTTGGGTGGGATGCCAACTTGGGCATCTCTTCTGCAGCAGAGAGGTGGCATTTGGGAACTGGCTGCATGCAAGGAAATGGTGCATGGAGCCCTCTGCCATGAGCAGGTCCCAAAATCTACTTGCTGCCAAATAAAGGCAAAAACTCCCAAAGGACCTAATTTTCAGGGGACTGAAGATATTCAGCTCTCATTGCAGCAAGAGCTATGCTTGTTTCTGGGAGTCAGGGGAATTACAGGGACTACTGCTGAGAGTACTCCAGGCTTTCACTAGAGTGAGTGGGGCAATTATTAAACTAACATCTCACCTGAATTGTAGGGTTTTTTTTTTCTCAAAATCTCCTTTCCTTCCCCAAAAAGTTATTTAATTAATGTTTGAGGATTTTTGTTCTTGAGGTAACTTGTCCATGAAATTTAAGACATTTCATTGTCAAAAATATCCATTTGCACCAATTGTAAGACATTCTCTCAAAGTGCCATTAATGTGAGGGAATCCAGAGTGAGTCTGTG